GACAGAGATAGATGGAAGGATGGCTCATGACAGAGATAGATTGAAGGATGGCTCATGACAGAGATAGATGGAAGGATGGCTCATGACAGAGATAGATGGAAGGATGGCTCATGACAGAGATAGATGGAAGGATGGCCCAGGACAGAGATAGATGGAAGGATGGCTCAGGACAGAGATAGATGGAAGGAGTTTGTACGTGGCCTATACCCTGCCAGGGGAGGAAGGCACTGATGATGATGACTAGCAACCCTGCGATACATCCAACACTTGTCAGTTTTAGTAAGTATTTTACGGAACTTTCAACACAATAAGGTCATATAAGTGCCAAAGATTAGAGGTGTTACAAGAGAGTAACAAACACAAAAAAGGAGGAGGGGAGATAAAGACGATAGACGTTTAATAGGAAAGAAGGGGCAAACCACACCAGAGCACCCGCCAATCCAACACATGAGCAGCGCCAGGACTCACCTCGTTGTAACCGAACAACCATAACCGAGGCGTCTGGTAGTACTTGTCGTACGTGATGTTGAGGTCGTACGTGCGCGTCTGAATGATGCCGCTCTCTCCCCCCGACGCTCCCTCTGACGGCTGTTCTTTCGCCGCTGGGACCGCCATTGTTGCCTAGCGGTACAAAAACTTACACTCAACATTTCAGGCATCTCCATAGAAGAACCCCCAACAAAAAAAGTTGTAGAAAAACCTCAACAAATAAAAATAAGATCAGCTGTAACAGACAAAGATCCGTCTTTACACACACATGCAATGCAAACACACACACACACACACACACACACACACACACACACACACACACACATGCACGCACACACATACACACACATCCTTCTTCAAAACACATGCTCATTTGTTTTAGTAGAGGTTTTACGGCACTCGCAACTGCATAAGGTCATATGAGCGCCAGAAAATTAGAGGTGTTACAAGAGAGTAACAAACATAAAAAAGAAGGAAGGGAGATAAGGACGATAGATGTTTGATAGGAAAGAAGAAGCAAACCACACCAGAGCACCCGCCAACCACCCACTCACACACATGCTCAGAGTCTGTGTCGACTGCATCAGATGACACAGGTAACCCATCATCTACGCCTCATAACGTTCCTCAAAAGACAAAATATACAAGACCAAGTGTGTATTACACCCTTCCCTAACTCCAAGTGGTTCGGACACCTCACGCGGATGCCCTCAAACCATCCAGCTCTGAGAGCATACA